AGCATCTTAACCTGCAAGTTTTGGGAGGCCATCAAGGGTTGTGGCAATAGCTTGTATAATTTTGGGAGTGTCATAGACCACCCTGGCCAACAACTCACAGAGGCTTCTCTCATCTGGCACTGTTTCTTGTTGTGTAGCCTTTAGCTATACACATGGACTCATGTAGAGATACTGTATGTATAATTTGTCAATGGGTTGTTGGACTAACATGATTCCCTCTGGTTTTTTAAAACTAGGCATTATTTATCACCCCCCTCTCTCTCCCTGTCTAACCCTTCCACCATGGATTCTCCATTTAAAGTGTTCCCATTTTCCTCATTTCTCCCTTGATAATACCAGTCTCCTATGGTCCTACCTACCTTGATCTCCCTTTTTCCCTTTATAAACCCCAAGGTTCCTTGTATAACCTTCTGACCCCCTCCCATTTAAATAGCCCCATTTTTATCCATTTCTCCCATGTCTCCTACTGTTCTCTCTCAGGTTCTTTCTTTCCCTTTACCTCCCTGGTTCCTTTTCATTGTTCTGGTTCCTGCAGTTACGTCTGGACACATACTCACATAAAAGGAGTTGGTGCTAGGATCCATATATAAGGGAAAACAAAATGTCGTTTTTTTCCCTCTGGGTCTGTGTTAATTCACTTAGTATAACAATTTCCAGTTCCGTCCATTTACTTGAAAATTTCATCATTTCTTCTTTCTTTACTTCTGAGTAGAACTCCGTTGTGTACCACTCATCAGTTGAGGGACACTTAGGTTGCTTCCATCTCTTAGCTATCGTGAAAAGAGCAGCAACAAACATGGATGTACAGGTGTCTCTGAAATAGGATGAGTCCTTTGGGTATATGCCTAGGAGTGGTATAACTGGGTCAAATGGTTGTTTCATTTTTAGTTTTTTTTAAGAGTTCTCCACACTGCTTTACATAAGGGTTACATGAGTTTGTAATCCCACCAGCAGTGAATGAGCGTTCCCCTTTCTCCATGTCCTCTCCAGCATTTGGTATCATTTGTTCTCTTGATCTTAGCCATACTGACTTAGGTAAGATGAAATCTTTAAGTGTTTTTAGTTTGCATTTCCTTGAATACTAATGTGTTGAACACATTTTAAGATGCTTCTTAGTCATCTTTATTTCTTCCTTAGAACTCTCTGTTCAGATCCTTAGCCCATCTTTTAATTGGGTTACTTGCTTTGTTCATTCTTTATTTAGTTCTTTATATATTCTGGATGTTAAACCTATGTCAGATGTGTCACTAGTGAAGATTTTCTCCTACTATATGGGTTTTCTCTTCACTTCCTTGGTTGTTTCTTTTGATATACAGAAGCTTTTTAGTTTAATGAGGTCCCACTTGTTGATTCTTGACCTTAACTCCTGAGCAATTGATGTCCAATTTAGAAAGTCCTTTCCTACACCTATATCTTGCAGGTAATTGCCAATGTTTTCTTCTAACAGTTTCAGAGTTTTCAGTTTCACATTGAAGTCTTTGATCCATTTGGAGTTAACTTTTGTGCAAGGTGAAAGATAAGGATCTAGTTTCATTCTTCTACAGGTGGAGATCCAGTTTTGCCAGCACCATTTGCTGAAGTTGCTCTCTTTCCTCCATTGTGTGTTCTTGGCCCCTTTGTCAAATATAAGGTGGCTGAAATTGTGTGTACTCATATTTGGTTCTTCAGTTATTGTCCATTGATCTTTGGGTCTATTTCTGTGCCAGTACCATGCTGTTTTTATTACTATAGCTCTGTAATGCAGTTTAAAATCTGGTATAGTAATCCCCTCAGCATTACTCTTAGTGCTCAGGGTTGCTTTGGCTAAGCGAGGTCTTTTGTGCTGTCATATGAATCTTTGGATGGTTTTTCTAATTCTGTGAAGAATGTCATGGGATTTTGATTGGCATTGCATTGAATCTATAAATGGCTTTTGGTAGAATGGCCATTTTCACAGTATAATTCTTCCAGTCCATGAGCATGGGAGGTCCATCCATCTTCTGGTATCTTCCTCAATCTCTTCTTTAAAGATTTAAAAATTTCATTATAAAGGTCTTTAATGTCTTTGGTCAGGTTTATTCTGAGATAATTATTTATTTATTTATTTTGAGGCTGTTGTGAAAGGGAGGGTTTCCATGTACTGTTTCTCCAACTGCTTGTTACTGGTATATAGAAAGTCTACTGATTTTTGTAGGTTAATATTATAACCTACCACTTTACTGAAAGTGTTAATCTTTTTTAGTTTTCTGGTGGAATTTTTGGTATCTCTTAGATATAATGTCATCTGCAAAAAGGGATAATTTGACTTCTTTTCCAATTAGTACTCCTTTAATTTCCTTCTCTTGTCTTATTGCTCTAGCAAGAGTTTCAAGCACTATATTAAAAAGGAGTGGAGATAGTGGACAGCCTTATCTGGTTCCTGATAGAATGCTTCCTGTTTTTTTCCATTTAGAATGATGCTGGCTGTGGATTTGTTGTATATAGCTTTAATTATGTTGTGGTATGTTCCCTCCAGTCCAGTTCCCTCTAGGACTTTTAACATAAGTGCATGTTGAATTTTGTCAAAGGCCTTCTCTGCATCTATTGAGATAACCATGTGGTTTTTGTCTTTGAGTTGATTTATGACATTTATTGACTTAATAAGTTACTTTTATAAATTACCCAGTCGCAGTTTTCTATTGTTGCAGCATGAAGCAGGCTAAGATACTTTAAGTTTGATAATAGAGTGTGGTATGTGCATGTTAAATCAATTCCAGCAGCTGTCATCACTGTCCTACCTATGGCCATCTCAATTTCTTCTGACATGTAAGAGGCTGGTGTGGCAGTTAGAGGTGGGACATTTGTAGTGAAAATCAGAGAATTTGTACCTCCTGAGAACAGGCCTCTGCTACAGAGAAGCCCAGAGGCACTGACTATATGCAGCCATGCACAGAATTTTCTAAGGATACGTTTTCACCTCATTTAGATAAATACTTAATATTTTCTTTTTTCTTACCATTTACTGCCTGCTTTGTTTCCTGTTTACCTCCTCCGTGAGCTCTGAGGACAGTGATTTGGGGTGGAGGATGGGAAGGACTAGATAGTATTCCCTAATGTCACTCAGGCACTCAAAATGGTACTCATACTGTGGTTAAGTTGCTGAACATTTGGCAAGGTTTTACTTTGAAAAGTCGACTCTCCAAGATAACACATCAAAGAAACTGAAATTGCACGTTTCTGTTTTTAAATAGTGGTGACTGAGGATTTCTTTGTGTGTACTGAACTTTTATTGATTCACAAGCGACATTAGCTCCTAAAAACTCCTGCTCAGTGCTCCCTGCCTGGTGGCATAGGTCTGAAACCCAACTACTCTAGAGCCTGAGGCAGGAGGATCAAAAGGTCTTCCTGAGCTATGGAATGAGTACAAGGCTACTCTGGGCAACTTATTGTGAGATCCTATCTGGAAAAAAATAAGATTGGGAATACAGCACAGTGGGGGCTCACTTGACTAGAATGTGGGAGGTTCTGGGTTCAAGGATCAATACCACCAAGAAAAAAAAAGCCAGTGGGGGGAAAATAAACAGTAACAAATTCTAAAGTTGGAGTCCTAATTGACTAGGTTTATAACTTAAAATTTATACTGTCTCTATAATTATTGTAATTGGTTAGTCTTAGTTTTGAATTTACATGGACCCACGTGGTGGCTGGTTTTGCTGTGGTGTCTTTTATTCCAGTGTCTGTTACTGATTTCTAGTCCGTCTGGATGGGGTCTTCCGATGGGGTGTGTGCATTTGTGCACATTTTTTAATGATGAGTCCAATTGCTTTGAATTACTGACACGTTTGTGAAGACCCGTTTACCTCTGAATTGATTTGTGCAGCTTACATATATTATTTTTAAGGAATTTTTATATATCTGACTTTACTGAACCTGCTTGGTACAGTATATGTGTTTTGCATGTAGTTCTCAATGGAGCCCCAGGATTCATAAACCTGTGTGATGCCTTGAATGCCTGGCAGCTGGTGAAGGAACTCAAAGAAGCTTTAGACATTCCAGCTGCAGCTTCTTTCAAGCACGTCAGCCCAGCAGGTAAGGCACTGCATTCCAGAGTGCCCTAGAACATTTCTTATAGAATCCTCCAGAATATCTGTAAGTTTTGCTGGGAATTAGACACTCTGTGAGGTCCTAGGGCACTTTTTGGGAGTCTGTTGATAATAGTGTTAATATAGTAATATAATATAAAGTGATAACAGTAAACACACATAAGTATATGACATTATTAGGAGAAAGGAACATCAGGCTGTTGGTTCCTTTGCATTGTCAACCTGAAAGTTTAGAAATTACAGCGAAGTGGCTTAATGTACTTACCTAAATAAATCCTTTTGTATGTTGGAAGTGTGGCTTAGTATACATAAAGAGATTGTTCTTATTAACACTGTTTCTGTTTTTATTGAATGAGATTTTTTTTTTTTTTTTTTTTTTTTTAATATTTTTTTTTTTTTTTTTTTTGCTTCTGCTTTCAAGTCCTTCATTCTATAATTCGGTTATCCATAAATATTACCAGGTCTTCTGACAGTCTAACAGATAATTATTCTTCATATTTATTGACTGTTAAACCAAATGCATGAGGAAGAACTAAATGGTGTGTGGCATCAAGCAGAGCAGAGTCAGCAGTGAAGAGATCGCGTTTCCTGCACACACCAGTGCACTCAGGTCTTGGGGATTCTGCTTTCAGAGGCCAGAGAGGGAGTGCCCCCTGTACCCTGAAAACTAGTTTTAGTCATTTAATTACCTCTTACTAAGTAGATTTTTATTTAATTTGGCACAACTATTTAAAAATATACTGCATAAGGTAGGTGTTTTTAAAAATGAAGCTTTAGGGATAGAGCCTAGGAATTATGGGGAATAGAGGAGGGAGTGGATTTAAGAGGAGATGGGTGGAAGTTTAAATATGATGAAATTACATTCTATGAAATTCTCAAAGTATTTTTTTTAAAAAGAAAGAAAGAATGAGAGGGATTTGACAATACCACAAGTGGATGGACTTGCACTGGGGAATGTCTAGGGACACTGACTTGACACAGTGGGCCTTAACACCCAGGACAAAGTATATGGGTTCCAGTAGGGGCACTGTGGGAGGGTGCTGGTGGGGTCGGGGCTATAAAGATGATTCAGATTGTTTGAGATATTCTGTATGAAATACAACAAAATTTAATTTAAAAAAAGTTTTTGAAAAGATCTTTTGAATGTGGATTTTTTTAAAATTGTTTTGTTTCTTTGTTCATTTTGTGCTGCTGGGACTTGAACCTAGGGCCTTACATGTTTTACACAGATCAGTACCACAGTCTTTGTGTTTTGCAAGCTGGGCATATTGACGCATATCCTTAATCCAGCATTTGGGAGGCAGAGGCAGGAGGATCTCTTGAGTTCCAGGCTAGTCTGGTCAACATAGCGAGTCCCAGCTCAGCCAGTGCTGCATAGTTAGACCCTGTCTCAAAAAACAAGCAAACAAACAAAAATACTCTTTGTGGCAATTGAAGAGTAGCAATTTGAAGTTTTAGGTTTATTATTTTAGGGCTACTTTTTAAAAATTGTTTTAGGAATTTGTGTGTGTGTGTGTGTGTGTGTGTGTGTGTAAGTAGATGTGAGCCACAGTGTCCCTGTGGAGGTCAGAGGACAACTGTGGCTTCAGTTCTCATGGAGTGAACCCGAGTCGTCAGGCTTGAGCTGCAAGTGCTTTACCTGCTAAGCCCACTCACCAGCCCTTTTTATCTGACTTTTTTCGCCAGGTGCTGCTGTTGGAATTCCAGTCAGTGAAGATGAGGCCAAAGTCTGCATGGTCTATGACCTCTACCCGACCCTCACACCTGTATCTACTGCGTATGCCAGAGCAAGAGGTCAGAAGAGTGTGTTTTGTCATTTAGAGGAAAAGGCAGTGTATATCTTGAATAGAACAGAACAGCTTGGGTGCTGTTTTAAGTTTATCTCTCATTGCTTTTATAATACTTGAATATTTCTAGAAGTGTATGTTAGTATTTTAATGTAATAGATGAAAACAAATGGAATTTGACACATTTTATTTTGGATCTAGCCTTTGGATACATTTTTATTATGTGTCAAAAGTTCTGTGGTCATTATTATTTTTTAATATTTTTTTTTTATTTTATGTGTATGCGTATATTGCCTGCATGTGGGTAAGTGCACCCATGTCCTGCAATGCCCAAGGAGGACAGAAGAAGCTGTCAGATCCCCCGGAACTGGAATATGGATAGTTGTTAGCTGGCATGTGGGTGCTAGGATGCAGACACGGGTCTTCTGCAAGAACAGCCAGTGCTTTTAACCACTGAGCCATCTCTCCAGTCTGTTCTGTGGTTATTTTAACTACTAAATTTTGTTAGACTTGGATTTCACAAATTCAGAAACATCAAATTCTTTTTCTTTTTTTTTTGGTTTTTTTGAGACAGGGTCTCCCTGTGGCCCCAGGTGGCCTGGAGCTCATAGAAATCCGGCTGCCTCTGCCTCCTGAGTGCTGGAATTATAGGCGTGTGCAACCATGCCTGGCAGAAACATCAAATTCTTGAGTATAATCACTAGTGTGTATTATAATGTTTAGGGGAGATTTTTGAGAACCCTGCCTTAGTTTACTGTTTACAACTAGAAGCATCAAACGAGATCACCCTTATGCTGAGTCCTGCCTGCTTCCTCTTTCTATAAATATACTTTGATTTGATGGAGGCTACTTGCCTTAGTTCTTTTCAGTGGCTGATTGAATTCAGCTGTAGATTTGAGTAGCTGGTGGTGGAGGTCATGCAGCTCCAGAGCTCTAAAAATGCTTTCATCTGGCCCTTCACAGAAAGAATTTCTAAATACTAGTTTAGAAGGTAAAATTAATGAGGACTCTGATTACTTAATGATATTGTTAAAATGGCATCAATCTGTTATTTAAATCGTATGTGAATAATAAGTCTAGCTTTAGAGAAAGTATGTTTTTTTAACTTTGTTTTCCACATCACATGGGAGAGGCACATGTTACACTCAGCCATGCTTACAAAACCAAGAAGTGATCAGAGAGGAAATACCAGATGTGGTCACCTGGGGTTTTCTAAGCAAGGATACTTCATAACACCTTATTTTCACTTTCATTTACAGGGGCCGATAGGATGTCTTCATTTGGTGATTTTATTGCATTATCTGACATCTGTGATATCCCGACTGCAAAAATCATCTCCAGAGAAGTTAGTAGACATTCAGATACTTTGACCCCTGTGTGACGGACACCCCAAAATCATTGCCTCCAGTGTTTTTTGTGCCACCTGCAAATTAGTTCTCCATGTAGGATGTTGAGATTTTATGTAGAGCACAAATTCTTGACTTTTTGTTAATTTTGAGATTTAATGTTCCAGGTGGATGTTTGACTGTCTTGATAAAATTTTTCATTATCTGTTTCTTTTTAATTATCTCATGGGTATATCTTAATGCCAAAGTTACCATCTCTGAAGAGCAGAGCCATCTTGGATGGTGGCGAAATAATGAGTTTATTGTAAACGTTCAAGGAGAGATCTGACTGAGCTGTAGATGGGGAAAATGTTAAAGCCTGACTAGCATTCCAGAAAGGTGAGGCTACGTAGTGCTGGCGCTGGAGAGACAGAAAGAAGAGAAGAGAGCTCAGATAGTGTAGAGGGGAAGACATTGAGGCCAAAGGGGACTGTAGCAGTATCTAGTTACTTTAGGGATTCTTTCTACAGTCTTAAACCATCCCAGCCAAGGTGGGGCCGGAATGCCATTCTGGTTACAGCGACACTGTGGCTTTTGTGTCTGGCTACAAGGTAATAAACCTCTGGAATCTAGTCTCCTAGCTTGGTGTTGAGGAATGTGTCTCCTGTGTAGTCAGGTGACCAGATGTGGCAAAGCCAGATCAGAGCATGCTCTCTTTGGTGTTCTCTGTAGTCTCAACCCCATCCATGAAGAGAAGAATGTAAGGATGTTTCTTCCCAGGGCACATGTAAGATAAGTATAAAAAAATATAAATATTACCGTTTAATGTACTTACAGGTGTCAGATGGTATTGTTGCTCCGGGATACGAAGAAGAAGCCTTGAAAATACTTTCTAAAAAGAAAAATGGAAACTACTGTGTTCTTCAGGTCAGTGAAAACCTGTCTCAGAGGGTAATTTGGTCTTCTGTGCACTTTTCCCCCTTCTGTTTAATAGGGACAGTCTTCTAATTTATCACTTTTTTTTTTTAATGTGTATGAATGTATTGCCTGCATGTATGTAAGTGCACTCATGTTGTACAATGCCTGCAGAGGTCAAAAGAGGACATCTGAGCCCCTGGAACTGGAGTTATGGACAGTTGATAACCACATGTGGGTGCTAGGAATCCAACCTGGGACCTCTGCAAGCACAGTCAGTGCTCTTGACCTCTGAGCCATCTTTCCAGCCCCATAATTTATCGCTCTTTATTGTAGTTTCTTTATCTTTATTTTTTTTTCTTGTCTTTTTTTTTTTCCTTTTGAGACAGGGTTGCATGATGTAGCCCCACTCCATATAGTAAAAATTGCATGTGTGTCCTCATTTCTTAGTGTTCTTGATTCCCAGCAGCCACCTTAGGTGGCTGACATCCACCTGTACCTCCAGCTCCAGGGGATCTGTTGCCTTCTTCTGGCCTCTGCAGGCACCTGTGTACACATGGCATACACTCACACGGACACACACACACACATAAATAAAAAATAGAAATAGATACCAAGCTCACAGTGCTCAAGTCCCCTTTATAAAATGGTATAATATTTACATACCGCCTGTATACCTCCTCTTGTATACATCAAATCATCTCTAAATTATTTACAATTCTTGATACAATATAAATGCTATGCAAATAATTGTTACACCAGATTGTTTAGGAAATAATTAGAGGGAAAATGCCTGTATACAGTGCAGATGCAGTGGTTTTTCTCTGAGTATTTGGTTCAGTCTGTGGAGGTAGAATCTAAAATTCCTGAGGTCCAATTGACCTAAAATGCTAACACAGTTGTTTATGTCTGTTTAGTCCACTTGAGCAGGTGTAACAGCTGCCATTTAACATTCAGTTTTATTTTGGGGGCTCTTTTTTTTTCTCTTTAGCTTCTTTGCCAAGTGTTTTTTATCATTGGTAAGAGCATGAAGTACGTACAGCCATTAGCAGTTGCAGCATCATGGAGCATGTTGTTAAGACCTAAGCTCGTCACTGTAACCTTAATATCTTCTCAGTTCAAAATGTTTAAGGGGAAGAGGCCAGTCAGTGACATCAGTTCCCTTTCAAGTAGCAGGCATAAGCTATAATTTTTGTTTTCCCTGTTTTATTTATTCATTTATTTTTGTTGTGCTGGGGATTGTGCCTTTGAGATAGGCATTCTGCCACTGAGCTGCATCACTAGCCCTTATTTTTTATTATGAGATGGTGTCTCACTATGTTGCCTAGGCTAGCTCGATCTGTAGCCAGACCTTGAACTTATCATTTTCTTCCCTCAGTAGGAGGAAAACGGTAAGTACAAGGCAAGAACCCAGTTTAAACGTCTAATTCAAGTATTAGCTAGATGTAACACATTTTTAGAAAGAAAGAAAAACCAGAATGTAATTTTTGTCTCAGTCTGTTGTAGCAAGTCAGTTTTATCAGCTGACCCTCTAAAAGGACTGAAATGGGGATAACGTCTAACTAATAAAAGCAACATGGCAGTCACTGGTTTTGGTGCCTGGCCATTGTATTATGCCCATACCAAAATGGCATGGTGTATATGTTTACATTAGAAAAATGGGTATAACTTAAGAACAAAATCTTGCTTGTTTTTAGTTTGGTTTGATTTTCTGAGAAAAGGTTTTGGTGCCTGGCCATTGTATTATGCCCATACCAAAATGGCATGGTGCATATGTTTACATTAGAAAAATGGGTATAGCTTAAGAACAAAATCTTGCTTGTTTTTAGTTTGGTTTGATTTTCTGAGAAAAAAGGTCTGGCTATGTAGCTCAGGCTGACCTGGCTGATATCTAAGCCACAATCCTTGTGCCTCAGCTTCACAGGTCCTGGGTTACAGGCAATATACCACCGTGCTCATCAAGAACAAAATTGTTATTTGAAAATACTGAAGAATATAAATATAATATTGGTGACTTTAAATTTGTGTCTTAGATGGACCCATCTTACAAACCAGATGAAAATGAAGTTCGAACACTCTTTGGTCTTCGTTTAAGCCAGAAGAGAAACAATGGTGTCATCGACAAATCATTGTTTAGCAATGTTGTTACCAAGAATAAAGATGTAAGTTTGAAAATATCTGGACTCAATCCTAACATTAGTATGTTTGTCTTCAGTATATGTAAGCTTATGCATTTATCAAGGTCCATAATTAAGAGCTGGTGGGTAGGCAAGCAGCCAGCTCATCTTTGAGTTGTCAGGTAAGCCTGAGCACTTAAAAGATGATTAAAAGACCACATTAGAAACCTGTGTGTAAAAGTACATGCATAGAAATAACTGTCTTCAGTGACACATAAATGGGATCGTGTCTTCTGTAATTTGCTTTGTGTGTATGTGTGTGCATGTGCACTAGGCTTCAGATGTTTTTCTGTACCAGTAAGTGGTACTTTACACCTATACCTGAAAAGCCACATGATCAGCCAAGTATAGGTATATCTGCTATGATGGATGTTTAGGTTCTTCCCATTTTCAGTGCTCTGACCATTTTTTTTTAAGTATAGATAGGTTTTATACTGTGTTCTTTGTCACTTTGTTGGAGAGGGATCTCTTCTTAGGATAATGATGATTTGGGGGAAATTACTTATTTGTTATATTTCATTTAATCTCAGTATACCTTGGGAGATGGCTGTCATCTCTATTTTAAAGATTACAGAATTGTGACAGACTAGTTCAGAAATTTGCCCAAGATTACAATATAGGAACATAGATGAGGGGGGTGGGAGGAATTGAAACATGGGCCTGATACATACCATATATATGCTCTACCACTGAGCTACAGCCCCAGTCCCTGAGGTATTGAGCCTTCAGTTTTGAAGGACTAATTGGATCTCCAGTTTTGAAGGGTGTTTTCTGGGTCTAAGCTGCTTGCATTCCTTTTTCAGCACTTGGAAGCTGTCACCCCTTTGTTTTCTGGTTTGCCTGCTGATGTGCCTGAAAGTTTTGTTGAGTGTTGGGCACTGGGCGTGGAGAAACCATGGAGATACCCTCAGGGACTAGGTGGTGGTATTTTCCTCCAGAGGGTTGATTTACACTCCTAGCAGGCAGGTGAGGTAGAACTGCTCATCTCTACATCAGGAGTTGAGCTGACTTGAGTTTGGGCTTCTGTATTTGTGCAAGGTTGTCTGTTCATGGGTTAGCTCTGCTCTGTGGATGCCCTGGGTGTCTTCTCGTGCCCTTCTGTCTCATGTACTCTGAACTCAGTCTGTCCCTCAGGCTCCTGAAAGTTGTGCTTGGCTTCTTTCCCTCTTAAGTTGTCACATACCTTTTGGAAAATATGTAGATTGTTGGGCTCAATTTTGCCTGCTAGCCTTTTCTCTGGGTTTTTGCATCATCCTCTGTTAACTCGGCCTGGCTTTTTGTTCTCCTGGAAGATGGTCTCTCACAAGCCAGTCAACTGTAGCAGGAGTGGAAGGTGGAGGAAGACTGGAACTGCTATAGTCTTGAGAGCTGGATGGAGAAACTGAACACCTCTGAACCCCACCCCCCTTTTGTACAATAGAGCTCCAGTGTTGAGTGCTTCTCCTGCTCCACAGGCATTTCTTGTATTCCTTGATCTGCCAGGGTTGCATTGAAGGTTGATCTCTGAGGAGACTTGCCTTCTAAGGAGTCAAATTTGTACTTAGTGACTCAACAGAGATTCAAAGAATAGACTATAACACTTTAGAATAATAAATTCTTCAAAAAAATTTTTTTTAAATTGAGCTAGGAACTTTGAGTTAAAAAAATAAAAGCTGTGGGTCACATGCCGCTGTAGGAATGTGTCATGTGCTCATAATTGCATTCTTCCTAATTCTCACATCCTAGGAGAATCCAGAAGGACAGCTACAGCTGACACTGACCCAGTCCAGATGCAGAGCATCACTGTTTCCACAGAGTCCTTCCTGTTGACAGTCAGGCTCCCAGTCTCTACCTTGTAGTGGTGGCAGACCTCTAATCTGGTCTCCTGTGATTTTCAGGCACTGCTCATGGTTTTTGTCTGAACATAAGTTTTCATTTCCCTGGGTGTTAAATTGCCTTGTGATGTGGTGGTAGTTTAATTTTCTCAGCTGTTTTCCCACAGTGGCTCTGCCATTTGGCATTCCCCCAGCAGTAGATAGATGATCGTCTCCATCAGCTTTGATGGTAGACATTCTAATAGCATGTGGTGTAGCTCAGTAGTTTAATTTGCATTTCCTAGGAGCTCAGGGCATTGTTTCATGTGCTTATTTGCTGTCTGTATGTCCTTTTTGGTGAAATGTCTTTTCTTATCGTTTGCATATTTTCTGTTTGATTTTGTTGTTACTGAGTTGAGAGCTTTTTATATAAGGCCTAGTTCTTTATAAGTTAAAAGGTTTGCAACTGTTTTTTTTTTTTTTCTGTTTGTGCTTTATCTTTTCATCGTTTTTAAAAAAATATTTTATTAGCCAGGCATGGTGGCGCATGCCTTTAATCCCAGCACTCGGGAGGCAGAGGCAGGCGTATCTGTGAGTTTAAGGACAGCTTGGTCTACATAGTGAGTTCCAGAACAGCTGGGGCTACAGGGAGACCCTGTCTCAAAAAGACCAAAAAAAATTTTTTTTTATTATTTTTATGTGTATGAGTGCATTACCTGCATGTATGTAAGTGCACCCTTGTTGTGCAGTGTCTGCGGAGGTCAGAAGAGGCCGTTGGATCCCCTAGGAACTGGAGTCAAGGACAGCTGTTAGCCACCATGTGGGTGCTGGGAATTGATATGAGGTCCTCTGTAAAAGCAACCAGTGCTCTTAACCACTGGGCCATCTCTCCAGCCCCTGTCTTTTCATCTTTTAAAGAATTTATGTGTGCACGTGTCTGTGAGTTGAGAATGGGACCAAGGGTCTTTTGCAGTAGAAACATAAGTTTAATGAAACCAAACTTGCCTTTTTATTGCTTAATATTTTCATTCTGTATATTCAGTGTGCATGAGTACTGTGTAACATAAAGACGTTTTTATAAAAGCATATCTTGTGCTTTGAGCATATCCACTCCCACTCCTTACCCTCCTGTTTTAACCTCTCCCCTTAGTCCCTTTGCTCCCCTAGGCAACTTTGCTTCTACTTTTATGTCGTATATACTGTGCACACACGATTTTATGTATCTGTATAAAATCTAGACCACAGATAGGAAAGTCTTTGTCTTGCTGAGACTGGCTCGAGTCATTTGATGTGATTGTCTCCAGTTGCATCCATTTTCCTGCGAGTGACACCTTGGTTCCTTTCTGTGGAGTCTATCCTTGCCTTGAAAGTTGGCCCTCCTGCATCAACTTCGAGTGCTGATTTCTGGGATTGCAGGTGTTCCTTTCTGTTTATGGTGGTCCATGTGATTTGTGTCAGTGTCTGTGTCTGCTTAGCACGCCCACGTAAACCATCGTCCTCTCCCAGTTTGTGTTTACTCCATGTCAAAGGCAGTGACAGTTGGGGCTATTCCAGATTTATTGTTGTGTGTAGATGTAAGAGTTTGCAAAATACTATTAGATAACTTTTACTTGAAATATACTCAACAAGGCAAAAAAGAGTACATAATTTGACTTTCCCAGAACAGCCGGGCGGGGGCGTGGGGGTGTGTGCATCATGGTAGTCAAGAAAAATATGACTTGCTACAGTGTTTCATAGTTAGTGTGATAAGCATGGCCTTAATCCAGTGTTGCTGAACAATTGACATTAGTTTGAGAGTGACCCATAGACCATGTGGAGAGTTCCATCACAAATACATTAGCATGTCTGAACCTTTTAGTACAGCTCAGTAGTGTGTGGCATGAATTGTCATTTTGCTGTCACTTGACTGACCTAACGGCATCACAGGTCTGTTGATGAGATTTCAAAGGCCTGATGAGACTCACTGTTGTGCTTGTTTCAGCTGCCGGAGTCTGCCCTTAGAGACCTCATCGTGGCCACCATTGCTGTCAAGTATACTCAGTCTAACTCCGTGTGCTATGCCAAGGACGGGCAGGTAACCAAGCTCTCAGACCCACTGCATGGGCACTGTTATATAAATGGTTTCCAAAACGCCACCTGCCCAAGTACTAGACAGCTTGAAAGGGAAATTTTGCCAAGTTTTTCTCTTTTGGTATCATCAGCATTTTTTCTGTACCATGGTGAACTTTAGAGGCAGCAGCTCCAGAACAAGTGCCAAAATCAGTTACATTGCTTCTTGCCTAGACCGGGTTGGCACATTTTGGATTAGTGGGGCTCCGTAGCTATCGTAACACTGACTTCTGGTGGTATTTCCATTGGTAAGGGAGGAAAGAATGGGACTGCCTCTCATCAGGCTCTTTTTGCAGTTTTCATGGTATTTCAGCATGTCACTATGTTGACTATTGGCTCTTTTACAGCCTTAGGAATCAAACCTAAGTTCAAATGTATGCTGGGCAGGTGTTTTACCCCCAAGCTATGCCTCCTCTTACATTGTATCCTCAGGAATTTGTTGAATGGAAAGACTGGGAATTAACTTAATCTTTTTAAAATTAACTCCATTAAAACATAATTTGAATGCAGTAAAATTTACCTGTTTTAAATGTACAATTTTTACAGATTATACAGTTGGGTGAACACTGCTACAGACAAGATAGGTAGTCATCAATGTGAGAGCATTGAAATCAGGGTATTTCATCTTTAAGATGATGCTAAAGAATATGTGTATTCCACTGTGTTTTGCTTTCAGTACAGTGTGAATTACATGAGTCTATTTACTGCTTAGTTATAATGTACACTTTGTATAGGATGATTTTGCCCAACTGTAGGTCAAAGTCAATGTTCTAAGCTCATGTAAAGCAGACTATGCGAAGCTGGGGTGTTTATATATTTGCTCCATTTTTTTGCTGAAGACAGCTTCACCTTGCTATGAGTTAATTCAGTGTCTGTATTGAACATTTTTTGATTATTAAAAAAAAATATGTATGTGTTGTCTGGGAGGGGGTGAGTTATCCATATAGACATCAGAACACAGTTTTGGGAATCAAATTCAGGCTGTCGGGTTTGCATGTCATTACCTGCTGGGCCTCGGTATCGAACATTTCTTAACCAAGTACTGCCAACGTGCTACCGTGTGTCCCAGCCATGGAAGGCAACATTAAGCTGGTTCATCATTAAGATCTTTTCTAAGTTGAGAGTAAACTTGACTCTACCACCACTCTTTCTTCTCACAGTGTCTCCAGCTTATCTTCTGGCATTCTTAAAATGACTTAGTCCATAAGCTGGGATTATAACAAATATTGGTACTGAGTAGATATTAGCATTTAACCCAGAAGAACCTTTCAAAACGTTCATGATTGCCAACTGTTGAGATTGCCAGTTTCATCAGTAAGTCATGGTGGCTGTCGCTGCTAGTCCTTGGGCTTGGGTCTCATGAGAACCAGCAAGGCCACGCAGGATGGATGCTTTACTGCCAGCATCAATTGGAAAATGTCTGTGTTCCTTAGGTCATTGGCATCGGAGCAGGTCAGCAGTCTCGGATCCACTGTACACGCCTTGCAGGAGATAAGGCAAACTGCTGGTGGCTTAGACACCACCCACGAGTACTTTCTATGAAGTTCAAAGCTGGAGTGAAGAGAGCAGAAATCTCCAATGCCATTGATCAGTATGTAACTGGCACCATTGGTGAGGTAAAGGCTGATTGAGTCCTCGGTAGACTGTGGTCTTTATTTTCCTTTTCATCTCTGCAGAGAGAAATTTCAGTCTTTTTCTTGAAATCTTGGATTGTCTAAAATTGTGAATCAAAACATCTTCCCACTTCCCCATTATCTTCTGTGTCATTTCGCTTCAGTGATGTGTCCCCTTCTGAAACACAGGCCTTGGCTTTTTAAGTCATGAACATCAGCCTTATGTTATGTGACCACACCTCCCCTGTGGGTGATGAGATTGCATGGCAAGGACTGGTTTCACTATCCTGAGGTGTTTCCCAGTGTCAGCAGAGACTTGCTGCTTAACACCGCAGTCGCCATTAATGCATAGAACATGGTAACGGCGACTAGGGTTTGCTGCTTTTCCCACTGCTTTGTACAAATGCCAGTAACAACTGGGTCTGTTATTACCTTTATGTTTTTAAACAAAAATCCTTTCAAGGCACCGTTCTCCTTCCAATGACCCCACTTCTTTGTTTGTTTTGTTTGAAATAAGGTCTTATCTGTAGCCCAGGCTGGCCTGGAACTCACTGTATAACTCAGACTTGAACTCACAGTGTAACTCAGCCTGGACTGGAACTCTGCCCTTTGAGGGATGGGATTATAGGCATGTGTCACCATGTGCAGATAAGGCCCCACTTGTTAATATTATTGCATTGGGGATTAAATTTCAGCATAAATTTTGGAGGTAACAAAAACATCCAAAGCAGTAGTAAATATTATGGTCCATGCTTTGATTCGCCTACAACCAACTTTATACCCAAAACTAATTATCTACCTGTAGTTACACAGTGTCTGCTCTTGTCATCATTGGATATGAAACATTCTCACGTGCTTTGGAATATGAGTTTCTGTTTGCTTTGGTGCAGGTATACAGAGTCATAAATTGAACTTAAGAGATTCAAGAACTCAGTGTACTTGGGATAAATTGAGTCACAAGATACAGCCTCAGTTTGGTTGTTTTTGAATGACCTTTCTTCTTAATGAAAATGGTTTTAAAACCATCAAAGAGCTTCTGAAAATAGGAACTTTGATGTGTCAGTGTTTAATAAGAAATCCTAAGAAAAAGCCCAAGTGCTGTCTGATCCTGTGCTCTTCATCAGCTATAGCTGAAGATGTGTCAGGCTCACCTTCTGTCTCTGGCTCCCTAGGGTGAAGACTTGGTGAAGTGGAAGGCACTGTTTGAGGAAGTCCCTGAGTTACTCACCAAGGTGGAGAAGGAGGAGTGGGTCAACAAACTGAGTGAGGTTTCCGTCAGCTCCGACGCCTTCTTTCCTTTCCGGGATAACGTAGACAGAGCTAAAAGGGTAAGTGAGCATCATGTAGAAACAATTTCAGAAATCCTACTTTGAAGGCTGGGGTGGAGTGCAGCAGTAGAGCTTGATTACTGTCGTGAGGCCTCAGGTTCAGTTCTTAGCACCACAAAAAGAAAAGAGAAATCGTGTTCCAATTTTAACTTTCCTAGAGTTTCAGTATCTAAGTTGTGGCAATGTGATACAGATTTAGAGAATTATTTGACTTCTTTATTTGATGTGTGGGTAACCCAAATCCTGTTGTTTTGCCTGAATTGAGCTTATGCTTCTTGGAGAGGGATTTTGATTTTTTTTATGGATGTGTGCATGTCATGGTGTTTTGAAAGTCAGTGTTGTTTGTTTGTTTCCCCCAGAGTGGCGTGGCCTACATTGCAGCTCCTTCTGGTTCTGCTGCTGACAAGGTTGTGATTGAGGCTTGTGATGAACTGGGGATCATCTTGGCTCACACAGATCTTCGGCTCTTCCACCACTGATCTTAATTCACATCCTTCCACTGTTTGCTTGTGTGTAATGAATAATCGTGTGGTATTTTGGAAAGTATCTTCTAAAAAATAAATCATTTGCATCTTAATAATTGGATCTATAGTTTTAGGTAGTTGGGCTTTATTATCTGAAAGGTATACACAGCCTAACACAGCACACATGGAGGGTTGTGTGTGAGGAACCCAGAAGCAACTGTCCCTCTTGGAGCTGGACTTACCCATGACATTCCTGTGTGACACTTGAAACTGCAAGAGCAGCCAGAGGACGGCACACATTTCAAGCTGCAGGGTTTCCCACTGGGGCTTGCTCTCGGCAGGACTATTCATCAGGCCCCTGAGGAGCTTGCCTGTCTGCCTCTTAAACAGCAGGTTATGCCCTGGGAACTGGATCTTTAGCAGGGATTAGTAAGTGCCATTGACCCCTCTGGATAATGCTGATACCTGGTTTTACCCTCTTAGGTGAAATCTTGCCTGTAATTTCAACAGCCCAAGATCTTCCCTCTGGAACTGCATTAAAAAATTACATTATCTATTTAGTAATAGATGTTGGTACCTAGAAGCGAACCCAATATTCTACTTACAGCTTTTCACCAAACGTGAGCACAGTGGGAGAGCTGTGCTTCCCTTGCTAGGCAGGACATGATTATGCATCTGTGTCCCTGCCCTGTGGTCATCACTATTCACACAGAGGACACCTGTGATCAGCTGCAACCTTTGAGCTCTGTTAACCTCAGTAGATCAGTTCTGCCTTCTTTACACTCCCTCCCTAAATAAAAAATACTGAGCTTTTTTTTTTAAAGGTCATCTTTGTGATTTATTGCTAACTGATCTTCCAGCTCTTGCTTATTAGCCCGTTGAAACAAAGCTGACTTGCATAATCAATAATCTACAAGAAAAATGTGGCTCTGTGATAGGTCACAGGGCAGTGTAACCTCAGCCATCATCCTTGGATTGCTTGCTGCTGTGGAATAGGCCCAGCCCATCTCATAAGGAGATAGAGCCAGCCTTCTATGAGGAGACCGTCAATCTTGTTTATGCTTTGTGCATAAACAGTGCCAGCTTTGTGAATGAGATGCCCTGGAAATGCATCTTCCAGCTGTAAATCTCTGCCAACATCTGACTTTCATCTTTAAAAAAAAATATTTTATGTATAAGTGTTTTGCCTGCATGGATGTAAGTGCACCTGTGCCATGCAGTGTTTGCAGAGGCCAGAAGAGGCATCTGATCCCCTGGAATTGGAGTTACAGATGGTTTTTAGCTGCCATGTGGGTGCTGGGGATTGAACCCCAGTTCTCTGCAAGAGTCATCCAGCCTCCCCTACACACACACTTTTTAAGATTTTTTTTTCATGTGTATGAGTTTTTCCTGCATGTATATATATGTGCACCATGTGCATGCAGTCCCCACAGAGGCCAAAAGAGGGGGTCAGATCTCCTGGAACTGGAGTTGCAGACAGTTGTGAGTCACCATTTGGGTGCTAGGAATTGAATTCAGGTCCTCTGGAAGAGTAGCCAGTGCTCTTAAATCTCTCCATACTCTGGCTTTCACCTCTTTAAGAGGTGTCCAAGTCATCTCTATTCAAAGGAACTTGGTGGTGGTTCTTCTGCAGTGTGAAGGTTCAGAACCCAGGACCTCACCCAATGCTAAGCAAGTGTTCTACTAGTGAGTTAGACTCTGAGCTTGGAAGGAGTTTATGAAGTCCCATCTTACAGACACATAAATATTGTTATAGCTACAACATTTTGCAATTTGCTGTGTAGCAAAAAATAACCAATATAGATTTGGCTCATAAAATATTAAATGTGCTGTCTCCCTCAAGTTATTTAGCTTGACTGGAAGGTAATATTAAGAGTATAATTGGGGGTGCTGGGCATGGTCGTGCACACCTTTAATCCCAGCACCCAGGAAGCAGAGGGAGGCAGATCTCTGAGATCAAGGCCAGCCTGTTATACATAGTGAATTCCAGGTCAGCTGGAGCTACATGGAGACCTTGTCTAAAAAAAGTACAATTGAAACAGTTTTGTCTGCTTAACCCTATATTGCTTCAAAAGCTTACACATGTAATGCCACTAACCACTGCCATTAAGTATTGTTCCCACACACCTGGGAGGGAGGGTGATGCTGGGATTTCATCTTACAGTCTTTTCTGCAAATATAAAGATGAATTAATACATTTTTTACAGCAGTAAAACCAAGATGTTTTATAATACTGTTTTTAATAATGTGTAAGCATGAGTGGTACATATCTCAGAGTGGAATTGTAAGATCATGTGGTAACTTTGTGTTTACTTTGTTGGAGAGCTGCTGGACTTTTCAATAGGATCTATCCTACCTTTCCACTGGCAGTGCATAAGCATTGCAGTTCCTCCACCAGAGAATCATGGGTTTTGATAAAAAATAACTTTTCAGTATTTGGAAGATCTGGTTTCATTGTACAGCACTGTTTGGCATCTCCTAGCAAAGTCCTTGCAGCCTTCTGGAATGAAATGACTAAGGGCTCTTTCCAAAGCATGGTGATGCAGAGTGTACTGGTAGAATCCTTGGCCTCCAGGGCGTTTGACCTGATGGAGTGTGCTGTGGCGGGCAGCCTGCAGAACAGGTGACTCCAAGGCCCAGCCCCAGCCAGTACAAAATGCTGATCATCACCCCAAAGTGACTGCCTCACGTAACCTTTCACCAATGCTAATTCAAGCCTTTGGGACGCTCACACAAGAGCTATTTTAGAGATAAATTTGGCTCCTAGGATTGTTAAAACCTTTTGTCTCTAAAGAGTAAGAAGGAATTCAAGGAAATGTAAAACACACTTTAATATCTCATACCTGACTACTGAGAAATGTTTAAAAAAGGAATTTCCCATTTGGGGCTTTTAGCTGGAGAACTGTTGTTTCTCCTGTTCTTTATTACTTACAGTATTTTCTTCTTTGTAACTGATACAGATTTTTTTGCAACTCATATAGAATTTTTTAATGAGGATAAAGTGGGACAGTCTGGCAATGAAAAGAGCTCACGTTTCAAATTAAAGTACCAGAGAATCTTTAAAATAAGATTTTGTGTCTGTGTGCAGTGCATTACAGTGTGCGTGTGTGCATGTGGAGGTCAGTGGGTAACTTGTAGGGATTACTTCTCTCCACCAAGGGGGGGTCCCAGAGATCAATCCCAGGTCTTCAGGCCTGGCAGCAAACGCCTCTGTCCACTGAGCCATCTTGCTTCCCCTACCGTACCATCTAAAAGACTATAGTCAGTCTGTGCAAGGTCATCTTCATGTGGCTTCTGCTTTGCCAGTCTTATGGTAATCTTTAAATGTTCCCAAACAGGAGAAATCCCCACGGTGCTTTTAATTTTTAGCAGTTGAATTTTATCTCTGAAAGTGAGACTCAGAACTTGTAGCCTGCCACTTTCCCTACCGCAGTAATGGGAACTTCCTGAACAGGAGGCAATTTCAGTACTTAAATGTGCTGATCTGATGTTTCTTAATCACTTTAATGAGTTTCATACAGCTAGGAGTGGAATAGAATTTTCCATGGAAATATAATTAAATAGAAAAAGCCATTTCCTATACTTGCAATTTCCACCTGATCATTTCTTTATTCCCCTCCCTAGAAAGTGAGCCTTGCAGGCTTTATAACGATTGCATTATTTTAGGCTAATTTGCATAATTCATTTAGGTCATTAGAGCTGAAAATAATACAAATACAGAACAATGTATTTCACTACAAATCAAGTTCAGCGAAGCACAGTAAAACTTCACAACTGCCACAGAAGTCTATTTGCCAGTTTCACCTGAACTTTCTTGACTTGTCCATTTCCTGCCTAGATTCAGCATGGTCTTTATGCCATGGCAATCTGGCATGCTAAAGGCAGTCCTCAGGGGCCTGGCAACATGAGTCAGTAAAAACTGTCCAGATTGGCCAGGTGTGGTGGTGCATGCCTTTAATCCCAGCACTCGGGAGGCCGAGGCAGGCGGATCTTTATGAGTTTGAGGCCAACCTGGTCTACGTAGTGAGTTCCAGGACAGCTGGGGCTACAGGGAGACCCTGTCTCAAAAAGACAA